GCCCCAACCCATATCCCCTGTAACAACCACACACACAAAAAATTGGAAAAGTGGCATTGCTGTATAAAGTACTGCTGAGATTTGTAGTCCTCTATAGAGGGTGCCATTCTGCATTGCTGCAATGCAGAATGGGCCCTGCTATATAGAATTACAAATACCAGCTGTACTTTATACAGCAATGCACTCAATTGGGCTACAAAAAATAATAATTTTATTTAATAACTTACCTTCCCTTCTTCTGGCTGTTTCCTGGTGGGGGAGGCTGCAGAAAAACACACCAGTGTGGGTGGGTGTGTCCATCTCAGACAGCGCGCCTGTGCACTCAGGCGGCTGTTTGCACGGCCGGACACAGACGGGCCCCCCCATCTCTGCCCCAGGGCTGTGTTTGGATGAATACTGGGCCCCCCCTTGTAGGCTCAGGCCCCGGTGGTAGTTCTGCCACTGGCTCTCTGGCACCAACACCCAGGAGGAAAATGTTTGGAATTTTTAAGTGCCTGGAACAGGGTCCACTTTGTATACGTGTGAATTTTATGCCCACCTTTGTGTGTTTCAGCTCCTCCTGTAATATAAAAGGAATACAGAATCCAACAGGGAGAATGGGAACCCCTCAATAGTCACAGAAGACTCAGAACCTAATGCAGAGATCTCACTAATGGAGTCTACGAGACACTGACAGGTGGTTTAGCTCACCAGCATCCACAAACCAACTGAAATATTAGTCTTAAGTGGACTGGCCTATTAAAAGTATGCAGAATCCTGTGCTCAGCCCAATCCCTTTCTCTGCCTCTTCTGCCTAGATGGGGGGCTTATCTGTTGTCAAGTGTCAAATACAGTGTAACAGTATTTTCAGCACCAGAATCGGCCCTGCCTAAAACAAGGTTACATGCTATTAAATTTTTTAATTTGAGAATTCTTCTCTTTGTGTCCCTCCAGTTTGGGTGCCCTTTTACTCTGACTTCGGCGTTATTCTTTGCCCATGTAGCTAAGCCCCTCCCACCTTCTGTTATACCATCCAATGAGATCTCTTCAGCAGCTAATGAAGGAGTTCTCATTGGACAGTGGTGTGATGGCAGATGGGTGGAAAGTCATTAGATGGACACACAGAAAATAACTTATAGGGTAACAGATGGTACCTTGAGGCGCTTCTTCTAAAGCTGGCGACACATGTCACAATCTGATGGCTCTCCACTGAACCTGCGCACGGCACTGACAATTGAAAACAATGCTTTTGATAAATCTCTGGATTACTTAATATGGTAAAAATATACAGTAACTTGAGTTTCCTTATCTCTTATCACATTAATAGGATTTCTGCTTGCCAAGCACAGCTGTCACTTTGAAAATATCTATATCTTATTATACATTTAGATTTGAACGCTGGAATAACTCCACATTTCATAAGAGTATTTGGTGGATTTTACTGCTTTTTCAATAAGCTAATTTTCTTTTGCTGGCTGGTTAGATCTAAAATAGGAAATGAAAAATCTGAGAACACCAATGTGTCCAAATTAGATAATTAGGGGAAATCTTAATAGACTAGAGGTGCCGTATTGGTACTATCACATGTGTAAGGGTATTTCAGGGCTGATAGGACCTTGTCAACCCCTGCACCATATTGGTGAAATGAATTGATGAAATGTTACATTTCAAGGCTGGTAGTGTTTGGTAATGAGGGCAATGCCCCACCCTGGCACTCCCTATAACTCAAGCCATTTCACAAACCCTCCCTAATGTAACTTAAAGTCAGAAATCTGGATTTCGAGCTCCCCTCAGTGCACTTCCCTCTTTCTTCATTGTAGGCCCCACAACTTTATTTCTTATATATACCTTTTACAGATGTCTTTAGGATGGTTAAATGTTGTCCAAGTCCTCTTGGCTGTGTGCAGCCTTCAATAATCAAGAGAGTGGCTTTGACATGATGACATTAGCTTTGCACTCTGTGCCATTACATTGTAAGACCACAGTACTGCACTGATGCCCCTCAGGGGCCAGTCCTTGATGCTCTTTATTTAAAGTTGTTCAGTCATTCAATCTGGAAGATTGATGATGACTAGGGGTGGAAAGAAATTACCATGGAAAACAGTACCGTAGAAGAGGTGAGTAGAGCAGTTTTAGATGCTTTTTTTTAACTTATGAAGGACCAATTAAAAAAAAAACACAAGTTGGGCTTTACCCCTTGTCCCCCTTCCCCCCATAACCCCCTCTTATGGCCTACTCCAACTCTTCCTTTAATAAAATATACCTTGCCAGGACCCAGGTAGCTGGATCTCTTTCCCTATGACTCATGTTTGAGGCAGGTTTTACTCATCTGTTCCCAGTGGTGTTCCTCAGAAGCCTTACCTTGCACAGATGTGTTTATTTGTGATGTCGTGATCTCCTGCCATTGATACTTGCACCAAATTAAGGATGTGGGCACAATATTGGAGTTTTGAAAGGCGTGCTTTGGTAGTGATAGGCTTTTGTGATGATATGAAAATTTAATCCTTTATATAACATCTAATCCTTTCTGCGATCATCCTACGTTTCTCTATCACTGACATTTCTTAGTCAGTCCAAGGCCAGACCCACCACTGCCTCATCTTGTAGTATAGGTGAATCCTCTTGGGAAGATGGATGGCAGTGTCTAGTGTCTGCGTATTTAGGCCTATTGATGCTGCCATTAAACTTTGATGACACTAGTCAATTTTTATCCCCCAAAACCAAGGGATCTAAGCAGTTCTAGTGTTTTAAAAATAAATAAATCTCCCTGTGATGTGTGTCTATTCTTTTAGGCCTGCCTTGTAACTAGGGATGCACCGATACCGATACTAGTATCGGAATCGGTGCCGAGTGCTCATACTCGCCCAAATACTCTGATGCCTAGTCCGATACTTCCGGTATCAGGAAGCCAGGTAGAGAGTCATTACACGCTGCCTAGCTTCCTGATTGGCCGGGAAGCCGGCTCCATGCTTTCTCGTCACCTACTGACGAGAAGAATGGGGACGGTTTCCCTGCTAAATCGGGAAGCCGGGTGGCGAGTCATTACACACTGCCTGGCTTCCTTAATGGGACTTCTGGTATCGGTATTCTGTATCAGCGAGTACGGAAAAAAAATATTGGTACTTGTACTCGATATCGAAATACAGGTATTGGTGCATCCCTACTTGAAACTATGATGTCACTAGCAAACTTTTACCCACCTGAACCCAAGGGCTGTAGCTCTAATTTCTTTTTAGAATGACACCTCCCTCTGGCTTACCGATTTTTCCCCACCCATATCTGAGGGCTAGAGCTCTAATGCTTTTAAGAAGAAAGCTGCCGGTGCCTTGTGTTTTCACATTTAGGCCAACTGTGAGGCTACTGGGTAATGATTAGTTACAATAGGGAAATGCATCAGAGAGATGGATTGCGCCATGATCAGGTGATGAGTGAAATACACAGCTTTTCTGATTGAGGCTCTTGTGAGTTTGTTACGCACGGTAGTTGGGCCCTTAGTATTCCCAGCAGCAGCTCCATCTTTTATAGGCTTTTATGAGATAACGTTTAAGACTGGATCATGTCAGAGCAGGCAGGACACATCAGTGAAGTATGTCACAGG